ATTCATAAAGTCTTTGCCCAGTCCTACTTCCTGAAGTGTTTCCCTTGTGTTTTCTTTCAGGTGTTTTATAGTTTCAGGTCTTATATTTAAGTCTTTAGTCTATTTTGAGTAACACTTCATCTTTCTTATGTTACTGCTCTATCTTCCTCCTTCCCTTTAGTGCTAAACTTCTTCAAATAATAGTCTGTACGTTCTGTCTCCCCACTAACTCAACCCTTAGTCACATTCTGATGCATTTCAGTATGGCTTCAGCATGCATCACTCCAATGAAACTATTCCTGCCGAGCCACCAAGAACTTCTTCATAACCTTGTTTTCTGCATATGGTGCTCTTTGCCTGGAATGCCCTTTTCTGCATTGTCAGTTAAGCCTCATCATCCTTCAAGATGCCATTCGAGGATCATCTCCCATGTGCAGTTTGGTGTGGAGCCTGTTCTGTGGAATAGATGCATGATGAATGAATGAGTGGTCTCACTATTTGAAGTCATCTTTCACTCTTCCGTCTTTTCTTCACCTGCTTCCAATAGATCATCAAATCTCACCAAATTATACTTCAGAATTGTCTCTCAAATCCGGTGTCTCCTCTGCCTTTCCACTGCTAGCTGAAGACCAGGTCTTGATCATCTCCTCACCAGAGTAACTAATCTTCCTGCCAATAATTTCTTTCTAATCCATTTCCTCCTCTAACCTACCCCCAAGATTGCTATTTAAAAACAAATCTGTTTATGTCACTGTACTCTTTAAAGACTGCTATTGGCAGCCCTTGACCCATGGGACACTTGCCCAACCTCCTCACAGGGTGTTCGTGTTCCTTCATGGTCTGACACCAGCTCACTGTCCCAGCCACAACCAACCTACTGAGCTCTCCCTTGGACTGAAGTTACTCCAGCCTCCTTCCCAGCCTTCCTGAATACACTGTCCCTTTTCAAACTTTGAACTGTTCAACATGGACTGGAGACTTCTCCAGTTTCCATCCTGCGAATACTTATGTATGTAGTTAGATAGTGTTCAGATGTTCACTTTCTAATTACTCTTTTCTGTGGGCTCCAATATAATTTTGTTCATATATTTTTTCCATAACCTGATTAATATGTTCAGAAGCCCTAATCACTGAAAAGATTATGATGCCTTCCACCCATATATAATTCAATATTAAAATAATACTAGCTGATTCTTGTTTTTTTCTCCCCCAGGGATACTTAGACATTTTTTTTTCTTTTAAGATACCAGATATAAAATTATTTCAAAACTTTTCCCCCCGTTTCTTAGGTGTCCCTGTTTTGCTGGTTCCTAATCAATTATATCACCTACAGACGTAAGTTAGGGGCAGGATAGATAAATGGTTAATAAGGTAGATTTTCGCATCAGATTGTACCAGCTCTGCCCCTTACTGGCTCTGTGATCTTGGGCAAGTTACTGAACCTCTCTGTGCCTCAGTTATTTCATCCTTTAAATGAGTTTTATAATAGTATCTTCTTCATTGGGTTGTTCTGAGGTTAATATACGCAGGCTCCTATGCCTGAAGTGTAGAGAGTATATATATTTGGTATCTGGTACTAATACAGATTGTTTAGAGCTTTGCTTGGTAGCGCCTTCTACACTATTGGGCTCCTTGGGGGAAGACACTATATCTTTTTATTTTTTATTTGCATATTCATTGTTACAAATCATACTTATTCTTTATGCCCCTTATCCAATCTCTCCCCTCCCCATCTTCCTCCCCTTCCATTTCCCTTCCCCTCCCCTCTCTCCTCTTCCCCTCCCTGCCATATATTTGTACTCTCCATCTGATAGATTAACTGTTCCTCTAGGTTTGTTGCCTAGATGATCTGTCCAGTAGTGAGACAGATGTGATCAAGTCCTCCCCATTATCGTAAATCAGATGCTTTTTCTATTACTCTGGAGTGTGTTTTGCAGACACTATATCTTTTTTAAAAAATTGATTATGAATATTCATGGGGTACAAAGCTGACCATCACCACTTGTGCCCAAGATTGCAGACATTGTATCTTGATCGTCAGTTCAGAACCTGGTGCCGAGCAGCCATGCAGGCCCTATTTAACGAATGAATGGTTAATTAGTAGGCAAGTAAATGTGACCCCATTGATTCTCTTGCAGACCTCTCTAAGTTTACTGGCATATCTAGAGAAACAAGCTCTAATAGATGAAGATAATCTGACGTTACTGGAGAACCTCATCAAAAAGACTGTACCTAGCCTAATGAGAAAGATAGAGGACTATAAAAGAGAGAAGGGTAAGTAGCTTATGTTTGCTTACTTGCACCAAACCACAGGAATTTTAAAACCAATTTGCTGTGTACGATGTTGTTTACACTATTCTGAAAATATTCTCTTGCGAAAGCCAGAATCTCCCCATTTGTTCACTGAACTCGTATTCGTTGAATACATACTTTGTACCAGGCATTATTTTGTAAGTTGGGGATAGCAAGGTACAGAGCAAAACTCCTGCCCTCTTGGAATTTACATTCTAGTGGGAGAAAGTAGTTTTAGACAAATGTCTTCTGATTCTTACATGGGGGTGAGAGTGTAGGAAATTTTTTTGAATGAAATAACATGAAAAATAAGAGCAGGGTAGTGTAGGGGTTAAGAGTGGGGCCTATAGAGTCAGATTGCCAGGATTCCACTCTTAGTGGTGTATTGGCCCTTTCTTTAGCTTTTATGTCTCACTTTCCCCATCTGTAAAGTGGGTATCATAATAGGACCTACCTCATAGGTTTTTGTAAGAATTGAATGAGATAATTTCTATAAAATGCATGCCTGGCACAGAGTAAGTATTCAATACATGTTGCTATTATGATTATGTTTGTCATTGAGGAAAGTCATGAAGACTTTCGTATTCTCAGAAATTGCTATCAGAGAAGAACTATATTTTCTTGTTTTTTTTAAAAGTCTATCTTATAAAGGTAGTTTTGCTATGATATTATAAAGAGGTAGAAGCACAGGGCAGAAATAAAATCTGGCTGCCTCACCACATGTCAAAATGCTAAATATTTGTGTTTTTCCGAGTCCATTTCTACACTATTAAACAAGAGCTATATGTAAAAATTCATGAATATATTCATAAAGGTTTTGTTCCACACCCATAATTTAGTTCAGTGAGTCAATCTTGTGCACAAATTTCCATTTTTAAATTAAAACAGTTTTTAAATTAAATTTTATTTTTTTTTTGGCAGCTGGCTGGTATGGGTATCTGTTAATTTTTGTTTTTTATTTTTATTTTTTTTTTTGTTGGGTGTCCGGTACCGGGATCAGACATTGGACCCTGGTGTTACCAGTACCACTCTGTAGCCAACTGTGCTAATCAGCCAGCCCCAATTATTTGTTGGTTATAGATGCCTAGACCTGCTGTAGAACACTAGAACTTATTCTTCCTGCCCAACTGTCAGTTCGTCTCCATTAATCAATCGCTCCCTAGCCCCTACCCCTTATCCTTCCCAGCCTCTAGTAACCACCATTCTACTCTCTACTTCTATGACCTTAACTTTTTTCCCTCTGTACATTAAATTCTTTATTTTTTGTTATGCTGTGGCCAGTTATTAATCTGAAGATTTAATAAATCATTTTATTGGGATTATATCATAGTCTTTACACAAATGCTATGTAAACAAGTTGCTCCATCTTTTTGCCTCATGGAATTGTACAAAACTTTCTATGGGTACGTCCTACACCCCTCGTGAATGTTAGGTTTACAGTTTTACTACTTAGGGCCTGCGTTTGCCCTGTGCTATCACAGATGAGCAGACTGCTGTAGACAGGCGTGGAGACAGAACACTGACAGCAGTGGGGTCAGGATGCTGTCAGGGCCCAGTGTCCGGTCGGAAACCGTTCCTGGGTGTCGCAGCCTGTCGTGCTGTTCGCTCCCTGATAACCGGGCGCCGCTGGCCCCGCGTGCCCTATCGGAACTCGTGCTTCAGTCTGGTCCGCACCCTTTCGCTTCCGTGGCTGCTATTTTATGAGCTCCTAGGACCTGGTTTTTCCCGCCCCCTCCTAACACGGTTCCTGGGCAGACTGAAGTGTCACAGGCCCTCGGAGTCTCCTGAGCACCGACAGCATGGGGAAGGCCAGGATCGCCAGCCCCGGCTCTCCGTGAGCGCCGTCGTGGCCGTCCTGCTAATGCCAGGCACGCCTTGGCGGCCCTTGGAGCCCCGGGCCCCCGCGCCCTTGTCTCCTCTGTCACCCCGGTTTCCTCTGGGTCCGGAGTGTCCCAGCTCCCCGGTGGAACCACGATATCCAGGGGGCCCTCGAGCACCAGGGTGAGCGATGGAGCCTGGGGCCCGGCCCAGGGATGTCCCCGGCGCAGGCGTCCTCGGCCGCTGCCTGCGCGACTGGCGCGCTCCCCACCCCCACAGCTCGGAGGCGCTATTGTGAATAGTGCTGCAGTAAACGTTGGAGTGCAGGTATCGTTTCAGTATACTGATTTCCTTTCCTTTAGATAAACACGCAGTAGTGGGATTGCTGGATCATATGGTAGTCCTATTTGTAGTTTTTTGAGGAACTTCCATACTGTTTTCCATAATGGTTGTACTAATTTACATTCCCACCAACAGTATATAAGAGTTATTTGTTATTTTCTGTCTTTTTAATAATAGCCATTTTAACGGGGGTGAGATGATAGCTCTTTGTGGTTTTGATTTGCATTTCCCTGATGATTAGTGATGTTGAGCATTTTTTTCAAGTACTTGTCCATTTGTATGTCTTCTTTTGAGAAATGTTTATTCAGGTCATTTGCTCATCTAAAAATTAGATTACTTTTTTTGCTGTTGAGTTATTTCAGTTCCTTATGTATTCTAGATATTAACCCATTCCCATTTTCTGTCTTTTTAATAATAGCCATTTTAACGGGGGTGAGATGATAGCTCTTTGTGGTTTTGATTTGCATTTCCCTGATGATTAGTGATGTTGAGCATTTTTTTCAAGTACTTGTCCATTTGTATGTCTTCTTTTGAGAAATGTTTATTCAGGTCATTTGCTCATCTAAAAATTAGATTACTTTTTTTGCTGTTGAGTTATTTCAGTTCCTTATGTATTCTAGATATTAACCCATTGTTGAATGAATAGTTTGCAAATGTTTTCTCCCATTCTGCTGGTTGCCTCTTTACTCTGTTGACTGCTTCCTTTGCTGTGCAGAAGCTTTTTAGTTTGATATAGTCCCATTTATCTATTTTTGCTTTTGTTGCCTATACTTTTGAGTCCTCTCCATAAAATCTTTGCCTGGACCAATGTCTTGAAGTGTTTCCCGTATGTTTCCTTCTATCAATTTTATATTTTCAGGTCTTACATTTAAGTCTTTAATCCATTTTGAGTTGATTTTTGTATACAGTGAAAGATGGGAATCTAGTTTTATTCTTCTGTATATGAATATCCAGGTTTCCCAGGACCATTTGTTAAAGACGTTGTCCTTTCCTCAACGTACATTCTTGGTGTGTTTGTCAAAAATTAGTTGGCTGTGGATAACTGGGTTTATTTCTGGGTTTTCTATTCTGTTCCATTGGTTCATGTGTCTGTTTTTATTCCAGTATTATACTGTTTTGGTTGCTATAGTTTTAGTATATTTTGAAGTCAGAGAGTGTGATGCTTCTAGCTTTGTTCTTTTTGCTCGGGATTGCTTTGGCTATTTGGGTTTTTTTGTGGTTCCATATGAATGTTCGAATTGTTTTTTCTATTTCTATGAAGAATGTCATTGGTATTTTGATGGGGATTGCGTAGAATCTGTAGATTGCTTTTGGTAATATGAACATTTTGACAATACGTTTTATAGTTTTTATTTTAGAGATCTTTCACCTCCTTGGTTATGTTTATTCTTAGGTGGTTTTTTTTTTTTGGTAGCTATTGTAAATGGGAATGCTTTCTTGAATTATTTTTCAGCTAGTTTGTTGTTGGTGTATAGAAACACTACTGATTTTTGTATGTTGGTTTTGTATCCTGCAACTTTACTGAATTCATCGATCAGTTAGAGTTTTTTCAGGGTAGTTTTTTGTAGTTGGTGTATAGAAACACTACTGATTTTTGTATGTTGGTTTTGTATCCTGCAACTTTACTGAATTCATCGATCAGTTAGAGTTTTTTCAGGGTAGTTTTAGGTTTTTCTATATGTAAGGTCATGTCATCTACAAACAGGGACAATTTGATTTTCTCTTTTCCAGTTTGGATGCTTTTTATTTCTTTCTCTTGCCTAAGGGTTAGGACATCCAGAGCTCTGCTGTTGAAGAGCGGTAAAAGTGGGCATCCTTCTCTTGTTCCTGTTCTTAGAAGAAAAGCTCTGAACTTTTCTTCATTTGGCATGATGTTAGCTGTGGATTTGTCATATATGGACTTTATTGTGTTGAGTTATGTTCTTTCTACACCTATTTCACTGAGGACTTTTTATCATGAAGTGATGTTGAATTTTATAAAATGCTTTTTCTTTTTTTTTTTCCTTTTTGTCTTTTTTACTGACTGGCAACGGGATCGCAACTCTCAGTGTTGCGCCCGCACCGCACTCAGCCAGTGAGCGGGAACCAGGCGCTCCCAAGCAGCGCACTCTCCAGTGCGCCACCGGGCCGGCCCTATAAAATGCTTTTTCTGCATCTATTGAGATGATCATATGATTTTTGTCCTTCATTCTGTTGATGTGGTGTATGCACACTTACTGATTTGTATACGTGCATTCCTGGGATAAATCCCATTTGATCATGGTGTATAATCTTTTTGATGTGCTGTTAAATTCTATTTGCTAGTATTTTGTTGAGGGTTTTTGAGTCTATGTTCATCAAGAATATTGGCCTATAGATTTTTTGTTGTTGTTGTGTTTTTGTCTGGTTTTGGTAACAGGGTGGTGCTGGACTCAGAATGAGTTTGGAATAATTCCCTTCTCTTTGACTTTTTAAAATAGTTTGAGAAGAATTGGTGTTCTTTAAAAGTTTGGTAGAATTCAGCAGTGAAGCTATCTGGTCCTGGGATTTTCTTTGCTGGGACACTTTTTATTACTGATTAATCTCTTTACTCATTATTGGTCTGTTCAGTTTTTCTGTTTCTTCTTGGTTTAGTCTTGGTAGATTATATGTGTCCAGAAATTTACCCATTGCCTTTAGATTTTTCAATTTGTTGACATATACTTGTTTTTTTTTTCCTTTTTGTCTTTTTTACTGACCGGTAACGGGATCGCAACCCTCGGTGTTGCGCCCGCACCGCGCTCAGCCAGTGAGCGGGACCGGTCTCCACATGGGATCTGAACCCTCAGCGGGAGCGCCGCCGCACTCCCAAGCAGCACACTCTCCCGTGCGCCACCGGGCCGGCCCATCATATACTTGTTTTTAATAGTCTCTAATGATCCTTTGTATTTCTGTAGTATCAGTTGTAATGTCTTCTTTTTCATTTCTTTTTTTATTTGGGTCGTCTCTCCTTTTTCTTGTTAGTGTAGCTAACTAATATATTCTAATATATATAATATATATTATATGCCACACCCATAATTTAGTTCAGTAACTCAATCTGTGTGCAAATTTCTTTGGTTAAAAATGAAGCTAGGGAACCATTTTGGATGTTTTATTTTCAGTGCTGCTGAAGACCTCCCTTAATCTTCATTTTTGGTCCTCATTGCTAAGAAGAGCTATTGAAAAGATCATAATGCTGCAGTTGAGAAGAAAGGAACAGAGCTAAGTAATCGAGAAAATAATGCCTCCTCTTGAAATGGATATAGCACTGGAAATAGAAGCTATAGAAAGGCTTAAGAATTCTGTAATAAGGAAGTTTAACAAACTATATGCAGTGATAGAGAAGGCATAGACAGAGAGCTTGAAAAGTATCAGGGAGTTGAGGGAGTTAATAGAAAGAAGGCACCAGTTGGATTGTCCACAAAATTACTGAAGTAAATGCAAAACAAGAGAAAGTCTCACAGATTGCAGAGAAAAAGGGGAAATAAATCAAGATAAGAAAAGAAGAGAAAGAGACCTAGAGGTCCTGTCCAGGAGATACAATCTATGCATGATAGGAATGCCTGAAACAGAGGACAAAGCAAATGGAACTGAAACAGTAATTAAGGAACTAATTGAAGAAAATTTTCCAGACTTGAAGAACAAACTAGATCTACAAATATGAAAAGAGCACAGGGTACTTTTAAAATGTGATGAAAAGAAAGCAACACCTAGACATATTCTGGTGATTTTTTTAAATTTCAAGAATATGATAAAATTCTACAAATAACCAGACAGAAAAAGCAAGTTATCTATAAAGGGGTAAAAGTCAGGCCAATCTCAGATTTTTCTCTTGCAACTCTAAATCCCAGAAGACAAAGGAACAACATATTTTTAAAGGAAAATAATTTTGAACCAAGAATTATATACCCTGCCAAGTTATCATTTCTGTACAAGGGCAACTAGAAGACATTCTCAAATATGCAGAGCTTAAGAAAGTATGTCAAGCAAGAACCTCACCTGAAAGATTTGCTGAATGATTTACTGCAGCAAACAGAGAACATGAACTAAAGTAACTCAAGAATAGAGAGGTAATTGTATGAAAGAATCAATGTTGTTTTCCAGTTAGCCTGGAGTTGCAAACTTGCCACAAGACACATAATATCCAGACTCCAAGAAATCAAAGAAGACTTCAGTAAAGCTGTACTGATTCTACCCTTAAGCACATTAAAATCCAGCAGGACCCTAAGATAACATCAAGGATGGGAACAGAAACCAGATGGAGCCTTGGCGAGAACTTGCTTTGCACCTGGCTCCTTGCTCGGAGCCCCCACAGATCATGTTCCCCTCCCTCCTGCTTTTCATGTCCCACATTCCATTCCCTCAACCCCCTGTTTAAAAACCCCTCGGTAAATCTGAGTCTTTGAGATGGTTTTAGTCTAGCCATGTCCTTCAGGTTTACTGGAGAGATGGGCTTGCCTAACATCTCTCCTCAGGTCATGGGTATTCCTGATTAAAACCTGCCTTCCTATTCCACCAAAACAAAACAAAAAACAAAATTAGCTAAGACCAGACTTCTCTCTAAGAATTCAGTTAGCACAAAATGAGGTAAGGAACAAAATGTACTGTTGTAAAACTGATAAAATGTCAAACAATAATTAAAGCAATGAATAAATGTATAATTTAAGTAAAAGTTATGAAGAATAAAAAGTTATTCTTACCATCAAGTTATCAAGTGAGAAAAAAAGCAGGAAGTTGATATTGAAAAAGTATTTCGAATTTTCACATGAACTCTGAATGCTGCGTTTTTTTCCTGATTACATTGTTGTTTTCCTGTAATGTAGTATCCCACACAAAGTAGACATTGGGCAGGTGGTCATGTTATTTTGAATATTTGAACTCTGGAGAAGGCACACTAGTTTCTATGTAGTTCATGTTTACATTCACCTCAGCGAGTATTGAGGACTGAACTTTATATCAGAAGAGTTCTAATTGTGAGTTTTCTTTTCTACAACCTACCTGTGTATGATTTCTTTTGGGTGTCAATTATTATTAATATTTTAATACTGACTTTCTATGGTCCTAAGAGTTTGGGCCTAATTCTGCCTTTAAGATGAGAGACTAAAGGACTGAAAAGATAATAGGTATGTAGATTTTGGGCTTTTCTTTTGTGATCCAGAGTCCAAGTCCATTGTATCTGATGAAGACAGTAGCTTTATTTAAGGATCTCCTGGCTAACTTTCTGAGTTTCTTGAGCCTTGGTGTTTGCTTTAGTATTTTAAATTTATTATTAAAAATAATGTATGTAATTATAATAAAATTAAATAAAAATTTAAATAATGAAAATAATACAGAGTGTAGAAAGTAAAATCTCTTTTCTCCTTCTTCCTTTATTGCCAACTCATTCTCTAGAGATAACCACTGTTTAAAATACATTCTTGTAGATTTTTTTCTGTATAGAAACAATTGTGTGTGTGTGTGCATGTGTGTAGGTATAATACATTTATTTATCTAAGACCACGCTATTATATTCTATAACTTGCTTTTTTTTTCCCACTTAATATAGCTATTTTCCATGAATATAATACAGAAATAGCTCATTCTTATTAATGGTTCTATAGAAATCCATTTTATGGATATAACGTGTTTAGTTAATTACCACTTTTGAATGGCTTTTCTTTCTTCTTTATTCCATCCTCTCTTCTTTCTTTCTTTCTCTCTCTCTTTTTTATTTCTTTTGGCAGGTAGGTGGCACAGGGATTGAACCCTAGACCTTGTTGTTATCAGCACCATGCTGTAACCAACTGAGCTAACTGGCCAGCCCCATTTCTTTTTCTCTCTCTCTCTCTCTTTCTCCCTCCCTCCCTTCCTTCCTTCCTTCCTTCCTTCCTTTCTCTTTCTTTATTCCTTTCTTTGCTATTATAGTCTAAATTCTGATATTATTTTTTGAGATAATGCTTTTAGAATCTCTACTTGGCAATTATCTGGCACATTAAACACTATAAGTTCTTAAATACTATTTCATAATGTATACAGTAATTTTAGGAACTAATAAAATTATAAAATTAACAAAACATAAAACCAATAAGAAAGAAAATATAACAGTACAAGGAATGAAAATATAGCAATAATAAAAATAATTTATGCATTCACATTTTAAGGGAGGTATATATGGAGACCTCCACAAGCAAATGCCATTTGAAATGTCTAAGTCTCTTTAAAATAATAATTTTTGGTGACAGCTTTTGATGATTGGTTATCTTGGATTGCTACTAATCAGAAGGTGATTTTTGTTTTCCTGTCTGTGATTTTATTTCCAGCTGCTCAGGTAGTAACACCTCCGGTAGACAAGGAAACTGAGTCATTGCATCAAGGAGAGAAAGAATTAATTTCCTCATCGGACATTAAACAATTATGTGGAGCCTTACAGGTAGGTTCAGTGGTGTGCTGGTCAATGTTTAACCACCAACTCCACACTCCATCCTCAACACCTCAAAAAGAAAGAGAGAGAAAAAGAAAGAGGCCTTGATTTGTGGAGTTTGCTATAAGTACTCCGACTATGGCTGATTGTAAGTAACAAACATGACATCAACCAGATTGCAAATTTTCTGAAAATCTAACAATTGACTCTCACTAGCTGGTTTGACCTGACTCCAGTACATCCCTGGGCTGCTTTAAAATGGTTCCTCTCTTATCTGTTCACTTCGGTCAGAGCCAGCTTCATGGGCATACAGTCCATGCAGCTGCATAGGGTCCCATGCTTTGTTTAATGCTCTGCTGTCAACGTTTTGAAATTCTTGGTAACATATGAACAAGAGGCCCCAGAAATCATGGAGCCAGTCCACCCTAGAGAGCAAGAACTGGGCTCCTGCTTTCTGTAGTGCTCAGCAGTGGGAGGATGGGTAAAGGGAGAAACACGGGGAGAATCTGCAGTGTGTTCCTCACAATGTGATCATGACCCTTGGGAGACACATGACATTCTTCCATGGGATTTACGTTTCTTCCCCGCAGACTTGGGTAGTTGAACTTTGCCAACATCTGTCAGCATCAATGAAGTTAACTTGGCCTTGGAAATCTTTTTTTTTTTTTAATTGTGGTAAAATACACATAACATAAAATTTACCATCTTAACCATTTTTAAGTGTACAGTTCAGAAGTGTTAAGTACATTCACATTGTTGTGCAACCATCACCTCCATCCACCTTCAGAACTTTTTCATCTTCTCTAATTGAAACTTTATATCCATTAAACAATAACTCCCCATTTCCTCCTCCCCCCACCCCTGGAAACCACCATTCTACTTTCTGTCTCTACGAATTTGACTATTCTAGGAACCTCATTTAAGTGAAATCATGCAATATTTGTTCTTTTGTGACTGGCTTATTTCACTTAGCATAAAGTCTTCAAGATCATGTTGTAGCACGTTTCAAATTTTCCTTCCTTTATAAGGCTGAATAATATTCCACTATGTGTATATACTACATTTTATTTATCTACTCATCGATGGAGTCTAGGGTTGCTTCCTCCTCTTGGCTATTGCTAATAATGCTGCTATGAACTTGGATGTAAAAATATCTCTTTGAGACCCAGCTTTCAATTCTTTTGGGTATATACACATAGTGGAAATGTTGGATCATTTAGTAATTTTATTTTAAATTTTTTGAGGAATCTCCATACTGTTTTCCGCCGTTGCTGCACCATTTTACATTTCCACCAACTGTGCACAGGGGTTCTGATTTCTCCACATCTTCAGAGCACTTGCTACTTTCTTTCTTTCTTTTTTTTGTTTTTTTTGATAGTAGCCATCCTAATGGATGTGAGGCAATATCTCATTGTGGTCGATTTCTCCACATCTTCAGAGCACTTGCTACTTTCTTTCTTTCTTTTTTTTTTGTTTTTTTTGATAGTAGCCATCCTAATGGATGTGAGGCAATATCTCATTGTGGTTTTGACTTGTATTTCCCTAGTGACTAATGATGTTGTGCATCTTTTCATGTACTTGTTGGCCATTTGTATGTCTTCTTTGGACAAATGTCCATTTGAGTCCTTTGCCCATTTTCTAATTGAGTTGTTTGTGGAAGTTTTAATTTTTATTTTTTAGCAATTCTTTCATAGATTCTTTACTACTTTCATAGTTTTATATTTTTAAAGTTATAATTTAAAATATGGGAATAATATCTTACAGGAAAGTTGCAGAATGCGATTAATACAAAGAACACCTATATACTGTTTACACAGATTCACTTACCTGTTGTTGATATTTTACCCTATTAGCTTTATGATTTTTGTGCACTCTTCTTGGGCTCTCTGTCTCTCACCCTCTCTCCTACACACACATAATTTTTTTCTGAACTTTTTGAGAATAAGTTGCATACGTCATGGCTGTTTACCCCTAAATACTTCAGTGTGTATTTCCTAAGAATAAGGATATTCTTTTATAAAACTATAGTACAGTTATCAATGCCAATAAAGTTAAATTTATACAATACTTTTATCAAATTGATGGTCCATATTCCAACTTTGTCCTTTGCCCCTATAATGTTCTTGATAGCTTTTTCCCCTCCAGTAAAAATTCAATCTAGGATCATATATAAATACAATATTGTAATTGTTGTTATGTCCCTTTAGTCTCCTTTAATCTTGAACATTTCCACAACTTTTCTTCCTCTTTTATAACATTGAGACTTTCTGAAGAATGCAGTCACTCCTTCCGCCTTTTGTGAAAAAATAGCATTTTCCTTATTTTTGATGTTTGTGGTGTTTCCTCATGATTAGATCCAAGCTATACATTCTGGCCAGAATATCACATAGTGATGTTGTATCTTTCTCAGGGCATCACATCTGGAAGTATGTGATGTCCATCTGCCCCCCGTTAGTGATGCTAATTTCGGTTATTTAGTGAAAATGTTGTCTTATTTCTTCACTATGTAGTTAATTTTATATAGTCACTATTTTTTTCTCATACAACTAATAAGGAAGTGCTGGGGAGACATTTTAAGACCCTGCAAATATCCTGCTCTGCATGAAAAGTTTTCTCCCACATCGAGCATCCATTGATGATTCTTGTGTGATCCAGTATTTACTATGTTGGTTGCAAAACAATGCTTTGCAAACTCCAGTGTTTTGTCCACAATTATGTCAGTACTCAGCACTCTACGTAAGTAAGACCCCTCCTTTCTCACCCAGAAGTTGGTTTATTTTTTTTTTTGCCTATGAAAGAGGCAGTGGAAACCAGCCAGATGACCAGTCGCTCCTGGAATTTGGCAAAGGCTGGACAGATGGCACCCTGAAGACTGTGTAGGCAGCCAGAAACTGATGGGGAGCCAGGAGGCCTGTGGCTCTTGTTCTGAACCCCCAGATGGCAGGTGGGGGTGTTTGGGCATTTGAAGGAATCTCAGCTGGTGGTAGGGTACTTTGTAAGTGATCTTAAGAGATTAAGTGTATCCTTTCTTAAGAGAAATGGTGACACCTCTGCCTGCTTGCTGTGAGTTTGTTTATCTGAGTCCCCTCTCCAGCCCCAAATGGGACATAACACATAACTGTGATTTCTAAAATCCTAAATTGACTTCTTTTCTCTAGGAAAATAGCTCTTGATTCAACTGATTCTTATCCTGGAAAAGCAGAGAGATGGCTGCTCCCTTCGATTCTTTTACTATCATCCATGGGCACAGCTTGGGGCACGGAGTTGCAGAACCCTCCTCTTTTCCCTACTCCCCCTAATTTAAAAAAAAATATGGCTTCCCAGCACTGACATTCTAGGATTCTCTACTTCTAAGTTAAGCTAAACTTAACTCCCTCCATCTACTTTTTCAACTAGCTTTGTGCTCAGATACTGATGTGCATGTAGAACTCACACACACACGGGATTCTGTTTTCTGCCTTACAGAAATTCAGTGGTTTCTAAAGTGGTGTGGCCTTGGCCTCCAAAGTGCTGCTGTTCCACTGACATGGGATGATTTGCAGGAGGCATGGGGGTCAGCACCTCACACTGCATATGTTCTCATAGACTCTCAGGGTTGGAAGAAGTCTTAAGTTACCTAGGCAACACTGCCCCTCTCCATTAGTGATGGATAGAATAAGCCTTGGTAATTCATTTCATGTTTCATATGCACCTGAGGAGTTTTCTTATTTAAAAGAACATTGTCAATAGTTGGGTTAATGAGAAGAAACTCTTTGTATTTCAAGTGACATCCCCTAATTTTTTTTAAAAAACTAAATCAATGTTTTTGTCTGTGGGATAGTGTTTTCTTAAAGAGAGGCATGCTTCTCTATGGAGGAGCCATACCACCACTTCTTTTTAAAGCCTTACTGGACCCCTCTTGAAAATAGTTGCAAGAAGACTGAGTGTGGCCAGACCGTGAGTCATTCATTCATTCATTCATTCATTCCTCTCTGGCACAGAGACTTGGGGGTGTCAACAAAGGATGCAACATCCTAAGGGAAAGAGAAGCAGATGGACCTTAAAGATTTTCCCTGGTCCCTATTCTCTGTAAGAGACAAATCAAGGAAAGCCAGGGCCTGGAGGCACTGAGCAGACTCTGCTGCAGCATGGGCAATGCCCTTAATCCCAGGAGATTCAATTAACTGCTGGACAAAACCCAAAGGCAGCCTGGCCAGGCCCTTGGATGTCACTGAGAAGGATTCTAAGATTCCATAGGAAGGAAATGTGGCTTATGAAAACAGGCAAGAAGTCTTTTAGAAAGTGTTCCCCAGAGCTGGGGAATTCCAGTATTGTGCAGCCCTGGGAGTGAGGCAGTGCAGCTTTGGTCTGGCTTGAAGACAGGTCACCATCCTGCAGCCAGAAGCCTGGGGTACTCCAGCGGGGAGGCATCCCCACTGACTTGGGGATGATTTGCCGGTCCCCTCACGCAGTCCACCTAGTGCTGCCCACCACAGGGCCAGCCCTTCCCCAATGCCTTGGTCAAGCCCCCTTTATGGCTTTCTGCAGCAGGCTGGTAAGGAGTTAGTATATGGGGAGAGAATGCAGAAAAGAAAGGGCCTTAGACTTTGTGTTAATTTTATATTTAATTATATAAAACATTAGTGGAGGCCCAGAGTAAAAACTGTAGAGGACACTCAGAGAAGTGTGCATGGCATCCTGTCCCTCTGCCCTTTTCCCATTCATGACTGTTTTCATTAGTTTTTTGACTTATCCTATTGTTGCTTTTGGAGAAAACCTTTATTACAAAAGAGGTAGCATACTAAAACGCTATTCTTCACTTTGCTCCCTTCGTGTAACAACATTTCCTGAAGTGTACAGAAATTGTCTTCAGCATCCTGCTCCACTATGTGGATGCACCATAGCTTTTTCAACCACTCTCTGTTGGTGGACGTTAGGCTTATATCCAGCCCTTAGTTATGCCAGAAAACGCTGGGATGAATAAATACCCTTGTGCATATGTCATGTTGTATTTCTGCCAGTGTGTCTTTGTGAAACTTCCTCTTTGGAAGGAGGGAGTTGATTTCTCTTTCTGTCTCCTGCTATTGACTCTTTCTATGGCTGGTGACTAGATATCTGTCCTTGTCTGCATCAGGTCTAGATTTTCAGCCCTCATCCTACCTGTGTGAATTTCCTACATTTCATGCATTTTCTGTTTCTTCAACAGGAGGGGTGCTGGCAAAATGAGCAGGCAAGGAGTAATGGTAGGTGTTTCTAATTCACTTTTAACAGCTTGGATCAGTATGGCAGGAATAGATATGTTTGATATATACCAAGCAATTTAACATGACTTGGGAAAGGTTTATAGATTAGCGGAGAATTCATTTCTTATTCCAATTCAGGACAAACCACTGCATGCATGGATTGCACCAGCCTTTTCTGTGGGGGGTGAAGAGGGATGGTGGTTTCTGCTCCAAAAGCCTCACATGGCAGATTCTGGGGAATACAGGCAGCTGCTCTCCCTCTACCCTTCAGAATTAGGTCACCTTCCATGGGCAGGGCAGCAGCCTGCTGGCCAGCAGTAGCAGAGCAGAATGTGCAGTGTGAGGAAATGTCTTCTATAGAGTGGCTCCAGATGTTGCTTCTATTTTTCAGAGGGAGAGAAGCAAGAGGCAAGGACTTGGCAATAATGTGTTTAGTACTCTGAATCCTTGCACAGAAACCATGACATTAGGAAAATATTCCAGAATCTGCCACTGGACTAAACCGCTTATGAGCAAACAGGTTTTTGGAGAAGTCTCTCTGTGACATGTAAAGTTTATGAGTATCAGAGCCCATTCTTCATTTTTCTTCTGGAAATTTAACCTTCAGAGTTCAAGACAAATCATTTTCCTAGGCATCTCTGTCTTTTTGCCTAGGCTGGAGGTTGCAGCATATGATGTTGATGTTGATGTTGATGATAGTTACCATTACTCAGCATTTGTCATGAGCCAGGCACTGCTCTAAGAGCTTTACAGGAATTATCCTACTTAATCTTCCCATCACCTGGAGATAGGTACTACTGTTATTCCCACTTGATGACCCATGAGGTCTAGTAGTGTGCTGAAGGTCCACAGGTAGAAAGGAGTGAAGCTGGGATTTGAACTCAGCGTTCTGACTCTGGAGCTCACCCTCCCGGGACCCGGCTCTACCACCATGTAGTTGTGTGAGCTTGGGCAACTGCTTTTCTCCTCTGAAGAATAAAGCAGTTTCTTTCAGCTTTGCAATTCTGCCTCATTCCAAAGGTTAGATGTAGCTTCCCGTGCAGTGTTACCTTTGCCCAGAGTGAGGGGAATTTGCAGGCGCTCTGAGCCACTGCAGCTTGGGTGCCCTTTGGTGTGTTCTCTGGACCTGTTCCAAGTCCCCAAGCTAAGCCCTGAGGACTTACCAAGCCCCTAGGATTGACCCTTGATCATAGTTAATAACTAACTGGTGCCCCAGAGACAAGGGTGGAGCTTGGTGGATTCTACTAAAAACTTTCTGGGAGTGGGAGAAGAAAACAGTTTCATGTTACATTTTCCTGTTACTGTCATGTGACAAATAACCCATCTATGACTTCCTGAAAAGATGGTAGATTCCTATCCAGAGGAACCAGGAAGTTCACAAGAACACCTCAAAGCAGTACAATCCTCAGCCAGTGCCAAAGGTACAACTGAGCTAATCCCAGTGCTGTGGACTTTGCCCTGTCCAAGTTGGGTCTCTAGACCTTTCTTTTTCCCCCCTCTTTTTTCTTCTTGATGTTCACCTTGTCTATATATCAAGTGAAAGATAAATGCGACCTAAACCCAACCAAGCTTTTTCCCAGGAGCCCTTGAGCTGATTCGTGTGATCTTAATTCCCCAACCCATCCTCTGCCAGCAGCATAGCCTCCAACCCAGACAAAACACAAACATTTCAAAAAAGAGGACATCATCCTCTCCTGTCAGGAATAGCGGCTGAATTTATGACTCAGGAGTGCCTTGAGAGAAAAACGGTTCTCTAGAATTAGATGCTTCTCCAACCCAGACAAAACACAAACATTTCAAAAAAGAGGACATCATCCTCTCCTGTCAGGAATGGCGGCTGAATTTATGACTCAGGAGTGCCTTGAGAGAAAAACGGTTCTCTAGAATTAGATGCTATGTTAGTAAATTATTAGTAAGAACATTCCAGTGCTTGGGGAAAGACATTTGAAGAGTCTGAGTACCTCTCTTTCTAGGTGACAGAGCTATGAATGGTGCACCAACCCCGGTCTCCATGGAGATGTTGGGAGCATCTGCCAACACTCTAAATTCTGAAACCAGCACAAAGGTGGGGATAGTTTCTTCAGGTGCTGCCTACTGGGGGTCCAGCCCTTGATGACCTTCAGGGCTCAGAGCTGTTTGTTTCTTACTTGGTTCTTCCTCTCTCTGTGATTATCTCTGTTCTTTCAGCCTTTTCTGTAACAATCAGAGGTGTGTTGACCTTTGGCTATGGAGGCAATGCTGTTATGCTTTCAGTCATCATATCCTTTGGGTTCTCCAGAAAGGGAAAGTTTCTTTTTTTTTTATCAACTGAAGCCATTTCTTTTCTGCTTGGATCAAAGATGCAGCACATTTTCAGGAGATCATTTTAGCTGTGCAGAGGCTCCACTGAAGCCAACTCAGCTAATTTTTAATGCTGTTCACAATAGCCATCGAAAATAATCACATGCATTTTTTAATTCCTACTGTGATTATATATTATTTTACGTTCAGAAATAAAGTTACAAAAGAAATTCAAGAAAACAGAGCCTACTATCTGAAAAAAAAAAGTACCATTTGATATTTGTTGTCTCGTTAAATCCTTATCTATGCTTTCTTCATATTGCTAATCCAAA